AGTGCGCTGGTTGAGGGGCGGGGGGGGGGGCTGGCTCTGCTCCATGCTGTGCTGATGGACGACGTGCGTGTCCATTAACTGCCCACCTTCTTGTTTGTCCAGAGTGGTGCTTGGACGCTACGACTGCCTGCCCTGGCAGCAAGCAGGAGCCATTCCTCCCCGTCTTCCCGGGGCGATTCAGGCACACACGTGCAGCAGAGGGGTTGAGCTGCTCCTGGTTACAGGGACTCTCCCAGAGGAGGCCCAGCAGCTCAAACTGGGCTCCCCAAGAGCCACGTCCCATAAAACCATCCTTTCTGTGCAGCGGGGGCAGCGGTGACTGCTCGGCTACGGGCGCCGGGCCTTTCTCCGTGCCCCTGGGGAAGCCGGCCGCTCACCGCTGGCGTGCCTCCCCTCCCGCTCGCGCTGACGGACGCTCCCGTTGGTCTCAGTAACAGCCGCCCGTGCAGCCGTCTTACTTCTTCTGCAAGGTGTTTCGCTGCAGGGCTTTGCGAAATAAATTAAGGAAGGAGTTAGGAGAGAGAGTCAGTCCCTTACATGCTTATAAACCACTAAAGGGCGAGCGCTGCAAGTTTTCTGAGAGCTGGAGTTGTCGTTTTTCATTTCAGAGCGTTTGTACCTCAGGCTTCCGCGACGATGCACCTGCCAGCCCACATCGGTGAGTCTCCGCAGCCGAGGCTGCTCAGCGCTGCCCTTTGCTCTCGCCCGGAGAAGCTGCTTTATTTCCAGCTTGCTCAGACAGACCGATCACAGCTGTGACAGGGAATGGTTTTGCAGGGGCCAGGAGTAGATTATTGTACGTCATGAGCGGTAGGTGCTGTCAGGGGCACGAGAGTAAAAGCCTGGGGAAGCTCAGTAGTGGCCAGAAATTCCTGGATGCGTTTTTCATCAGGGTTGTCTGGTGCCATGTAACTCTTTGTCATCAGACTGGCATCACCAAAGGCCTTTGTGACTACAGCCAGGGAAGAAACACTTGTTCAGTTTCCAGTGTTTTCCCCATTTGCCATCAGAAAATCAGATCTTCCGAAGTTTTGCAAGGCAGACACTCCGGCATAGCCTCATAAAAAAGCATGAGTCTCCGCTCCCAGTCTATTACTCTTGCATCCCAAATCTTACCTCCAGTCCCATGAGGCCATGGACTGTTTTGGGGTTAGTGAATCCATCCAGATATATAAACATTTTCCTGTTTTTAACAGAAATTCAGATTTGGACCCAAAACAACTTGATCAAAATCGCTTGAGGGATGTGCCCTTGCCCGTTTCCCAGCCCAGCGCCCTGTTCCCGCTGGGCTTTTGGCTCCTGTGGGGCAGAGCCCTGGTTTGGGACGAAGTCCCAAATTATCACGAGATGTGATAATTTCCCGTAGTTTCAGGGGCAACACGTCTGGTAGAAGGTCGCTGGCCCCCAGCACTCGCGAGGGCTGTGGGGGAGGGCGCTGCCGCGGCAGCGCGACGTTGGCCGCGTCGCGCAGCTACAAGTTATTTAGGTTTCCACGACGCTTCCGTTCGGCTCCGTCAGGCG